TGTTTAAAATGCGCCTTTTATCTCTCCTACAAGTAGCACCAGCTAAACACCTAACTTCCTTTGACACTTCCACATGATTTCCTAAAGAAACACCTCTTACAACTGAATCACCAACCAGAAAATGAGTTCTTTTAGGAGCCTTATCCACAACACTTGCCTGGATTGTAACCTTTGATAAAAGAGTTACTTTTGGCAGGTACAGTTACTTTAGACAGATACACCTTATGTAGGATTTGTTTCATCTCTGTAATACCTGAGGCCAGCCACTTCACTGGTTATATATCAGGGTTTACAACCATGTTAATAAAAATTAGAGTGCATTATTTCAGAGACAATAGCCACAAATATTGTACAGTAGCTGGGGCATACATAAGCACCTTTGTTAGGCTGCAATGTAAGTGGGGGAGATGAGGCAACTTTCTCTTGAACTAAAAAATCAGAATGTATTATTTAAGAGACAATATCCACACACATTGTGTAGTGCCTAGAGTATAAAAGTAGCTTGGTTAGGTCACAATGTAAGAGGAAGTGATGAGGCAAATTTTATCATGAATTGAAAATCAGAATGTATTATTTCAGAGACAATAGTCACAAATATTACAGTCACTGGATAGTATGTACACAGCTTTATAAGAGGGAGAAACGGGCCATGTTTTCTCTTGAAATAAACATTGCAATGTATTATCTGAGAGACAATAGCACTGGATTAGGCAAACTTGGAGACGAAGGGCATGATACTCAAATAAATGTAAAAACTCTCCACTGCCACATCTCGTTTCTCTATAATTAATCTAGTTCTACACCAGTTGACATAGGATACAATCCAGTGTGGTGCATACCCCAAACACTGAACACTGAAAAATAGAGCCCAATGCAAATTTAAACAAAGGCTGAAAAATAGAGCCAAAACTGCACAACTGAACTATAAAGAAAATTTTCATTACAAAATTATATCAAAACACTTAATGACCTTCCACCAATATCACAACAGATTTTTTATTAAAAAGCCACCAAATGGGTCCTCCCCATGTTCATACCACAGCCTGATGTTAACTGGTTAAGAGCAACTTACCCTGATCCTTTATAAATGCCCATAAATTGTATGTATTTTTCTCAAAGCATTTTAAAACTTCCACAATACTATACCTCCATAAAAAAGTAGATTTTTTTTTCTTGTGGCAGCAGCAAATTATGGATGCAATGGAGTTGATTTACTCAAACTGGAAAGCACAAAATCTGGTGCAGCTCTGCATAGAAAACAATCAGCTTCTAGGTTTTTTTTTTGTCAAAGTTTAATTGAACAAGCTGAAGTTAGAAACTGATTGGGTAACGTGCAGAGCTGAGATTTTACACTCTCCAGTTTTAGTAAATCAACCCCAGAAGGTCTCTCATTCTCATTGTTATATTTACAGGATTCCATACAACTGTAATGTTCAAACAATCTGATTTATTTCTTTATTCATGTCATCAATATTCTACAGCCCATCTTTTTTCAGATTACATTCAGATACCTCTTAATTATTATCTACTTCTCACAAAGGTATGGGGTATATGTAACCTCCCACCAAATTCACTCAAGGATTAACAAATGGAGTGGATACAACTTCAGCCAAGTGTACAATATAACATACAAGATATATGTATAAGCAATGGACTGTAGTTAAATCCACTCCATTTGTTAACCTTTGAGTAAAGTTGGTGAGAGACCATAAGAGAATGATGATCCAAGGCTGGGGTGTAAAATACTAATGCCATGATTATAAAATAAATGAGTATGTGTGAACATAACAGATGTACGGGATCCTGGAAATATAACAACCAGAAAGAGAGTCCCTTAGAATCCATAATTTGCTGCCGCTGCAAAAAAAAAAAAAGGTATGACAGGTGGCAAGAGCTGATGGAAGGAAAAATGAGCAGAGGTGGCAGGAGTTGGTAATCAAGGTAAACCATTGCCAGCTCATGCAACTGTAATGAAATATCTGAAAAGAGAAAAGAACTCAAGCCAGAGTATGTTCCTTGCTGGATCTTTGTCTCAACACCCCCTATTTTAAGTACAAGGATAACTTGTACATGGAATAGGAGGGGGAGAAAAGAGCCTTGAAATTTCAGTGGAATAGTACCAAGTCATTGGTTTATTTGTATGTGGATAATATACCCCTGTAGAAGTTGATTAAGATTGCTTAAGATTTGAATTCCCTTATACAGTGGATATAAAAAGTCTACACACTCCCACACACCCCGGTTAAAATGTCAGGTGGAAAAAATTCTGAAATGATTTATGTTTGTCTAATTTTTTTAACATCACAGAAACCAGACATTTTAATAGGCAGCACACATCTTCCACAGACTTGCATTCAGAGTCAGTAAACAGTCCTTGAGCTTGGTTTTATGTTTTATTAAGTGGTGTTAACTTGGATGGGGTAAGGGGTGTATAGGATGCCCAATGGAACTGCAAACCGAGGATGAACTCCTTAGCAACTATGTACAAGTCTTTACACAGCAGAAACTCTTCTTGGGGAGCTCTCCAAACTCTCCGGGTGTACCACCCCAGACCCGTGATAATCCTCTCCTTATCCAGCTGACTGAGGGAATCCCTGGGCAAGGGAATCCAGTTCCTTCCACTTTAAATGAAACCATCATGGGTAAGGAGCTAATCAGGTTTCTCACCAGAGTGCTCTTTTTCCCTAACTGGCCCAGGGGGTGTAGGTGTACTCACTCACAGGTGGCTGCCTTCAGGCCTTCCACTGGGCTTGCTCCTTTCCTGGCTCCACAGGTGATCCTCACTCTGGGGGCTGGTGAGGCTGAGTGATCCTCCTTTCCAGCTTCCTGCCAACAGGTGGCCCCTTCTTATTGGGCTTCCTCCCAGGCTCCTGCATCTCAACTTCCTTCCACCCGAACTCTCCTGCTACTGAGCAGGCTCAGTCTCACTTAAGGGCTGCTCTGGTGCCATGCCAAGCCTCTTGCTTAGGGATTTGCCAGAGTCCCTTGAGCATGCAGACCAGCCCTTCCTCACCCCGTCCACTGCTTCTAGAATCTTAACCAAGATTCTAGGGCGGGGGGTTATCAAGGAAATGATCTGCAGAGCCTCTCAGTCCTGACCCTAATTTGTCCCAGCTGACTATTGCCCAGGTTGCTACTCAGCCATTCTAATTAAAAAATAATCAACTAGCTCCCTCTACCTAAATATGTGGGTCAATATTAAAACATGGAAAAAAGGAAATGCAAGCTTTCAGTGAACACATACATTCACTGGAGAAAATCATCATCAAGCCTACACAAAGCCAGATGGCTGCTCCCTACAATTCATTGCAAACTGCCTGCCCAAAATCCTCTCTTAATGCTGTCCTGCCTCCCCCTTCCTTTTCTCCACTCCAGTCTCTATAGTCTGCTACCTCATCACCCCCTTCTTCCACATTGCCGGAGCACACTTGGCAGCAAGCTGCAGGAACATTACTGTCAGTTGCTCCTCCACTGTCAGAATACACTGATCAGCTGCAGCAGCTGATTGGCTGAAACTGCTGATCAAAAATGTTTTCCAAGAGTCATATATGATAGAAGTTGATAGATTGACTTCTGTGGAGTGGGAATGGCCATAGTCCCTATCAGGGGCGGACTGACAACTCATGGGGCCTCCGGGCAATAGGGGATCATGGGGCTCCTGTGTCCTTGCCCAAGCTCAAAAAGCCTATGAAAAAGGTACCAGGGGCATCTAATGGGGCCCCTTACTGACCCTGGGCTCTCGGGCAGTGCCCGAAGTTTCCAAACGATCAGTCTGCCCCTGGTCCCTGTTGAAGTGGCCGAATTTTGATCCATCTACTGTATGGGATCCATCACTCACTTCGTTGACATTTGATGCAGTCAACCACTCCCAGATACACTGTTACTTTATCTCACGAAGTTAGCGGATGACATACATTGCTTTACTGATTACTATTCTTACTTCTGTATTGGCTATTTCTCAGTCCATGACAGTTCTTTAGACATTCATGTGGGATAAACATCATATAAATGTGCGTTGCTTCAACCACTGTACATTTAGAAATAAATGCTGCAATCATATACTTGCAATACTTTTTTAAACTCTGCGTCTTTACCTTGAGGGATTACAGTTTTACAATCACTGTTTTCTGCTGCATGTTTTATTAGACAGAATTGAATGTAGAGGTCCCCTTTATACTATTATTTTACTACAGAAGAGAAAACAGCCTAAACATATTCAATAAGAAGAAAAAATACTCTAAGAACATTCCATTTTTCTCCAATCTCACAACAGCTGGTAATTTGCTCATAATAAAAATACATGCAGTTCAAAAATAGCTATGCAGTTTTTTAGTAAAATCTGGCTGGTAGCACACCTAAAAGGCATGAAAATGAGAAATCTGACCTTTGTTTTTTAATGCAGCACACCACAAGCATGGCATGTCCACTGTAGTGCACTGTAGTTCAGTTGTATGGTCTGCTACTGTAACAGTTCAATGGGGAAGGGTTCAAAATTAATAGCTTCAAGTGTTAACATGTTTTGTGGCAACAAGTGACAAAACACGCAGTAAAAATGTATCTTACCACATATTTAAAAATGCATATGTTTGAATGGGACGTAAAAGTAAATAAGGCATAATTCCCATTCACAGTGTGCATGAGCAGATATGCTGCTGTGGTCATACATTGGAATACAAATTCCAATAACAAATAATAAAACATGCTCTGCTTTATTCTCTTTTTTTTTATTTTCTTAGAAGAAGTGTATAGATAGTTTTCCTGGCACATACACAAAGTGTCCCTTAGTGAGTATTAATTTTTTGTAAGTATTGGAACAGAGTTGTAATTTTTTTTTGTATTGTTGCCAGATTAACCATGGGACTTTTTCATACGTGACCTACCAAGCCTCTATATACAAAAAACAAGCGACTCTAAATATCGATGAAAATAAAACTGTTCACAACGATACTAACGATAACTTTGAAAGAATCAAACAAAAGTAAATAAAATATACCACAAACCTGTTACAAGTTCTCTGATTTCCAAATCTGTGGTTTTTCGGAGCAGCCGTACCAATGCTGGAATACCACCACAGTTTTTCAGTGCAATCTTGTTGTCATCATTTGCTTTACCATATACTAAGTTCCTAAGTGCCCCACAAGCACTCCGATGAACATCTGTCATACGATGATCTAGGAGATCTACTAACAACTGAATCCCTCCTTGTCTTCTTATCTGTAATGTACGGTATTATATTGAATTATTAATCATGTGGATTATAAAATATGCGATATCAGAATTTTTCCTATAATAATTTACTGTAATTTAATGTCTGCCATTTAATGTACAAATATATACTTTACATTATTTTTTTAATCTTGCAGTAATAGTAAACTCCAGGTAAGACAACATTAGTAATAAATGTTTAAAAGACAAAGCTTTGCATATTGCTTTTCGGCTATGACTTTCAGGAGTGCTTGTAGTTAGTAATAGTGTAAAGGCATTCTCACGTGCAAATATATACAATGTATTCCATTCTAAAGAAGTACCTAGTGCTCCTGATTTTTTTCAACCCTATTGAGAATCCCTTACTTCCATGTAGAAGGAGCTGCTCCACTGTTTTTAATAGTCTGTGACACACTGGGAAGTCAAGCAGAAGTTCCTCCATCTCCTCTGTGGGCAACCATCCTGACTGCTTACCATGGTTCTGGGCTCCCTGGAGGATGGGAAGAGCCCAGAACCACCATGGGTGGGGACAGGGGGGAGAATTTTTAGATGTGGTGACTGCATTGGTTTTCTTTTTAAGATTTTTTTCCTTTATTTTCACCTGTTGATCCTGCTGGTAAGTCTGTTACTTTTCAACAGACCAAGCTGTCCAGCAAAAGTGGCAGTTAAAGGTTTGACTCTAACCAGTTAAAGAAGATCTATCATTACAATAGCATAAAGAGCCCCCACTCCCCAGTCTAATCTGCTGTGCTCTGCAATGTGGTCTTCTAATTGCTGATATTTAGTTTACAAAGAATACACAGCTGCAGCCTGCTATTCATGAGAACAGAAAGAAACTGTCACCTTGTGCTGTGAATGATTGCAGCTAGACAACAGGCCTTTAATTCACAAACATAAGCTTCCTATAGAACACAGCAGCTTCTACACTTGTCTGAAACAGCCTAGTGTAGTACCTAGCTCAGCAATGGGCAAACTACGGCCCGGTGGACCTTTTAATCTGGCCCGTGGAGCATGATACTGTCAGGATGGCTGTCAGGATGTGTGTAGGCGGGGCAGCGTGACGAACGTGAGGGGAGCTAGGCTCCTCTCACAGTCCGCCCTGAAGACCGGAACGGCGCGGGAACACGGCGAGAGGAACGCGCGGAGCAAAGGTAAGTGAATTGACACAGGGGGGACTTGGCTTACTACTTGGGGGGGAACAGTACTATGGGGGATGAAATACTATATGAGGGATGAATTAATATGGGGGATGAATTAATATGGGGAATGAATTACTATAGGGGGGATGAATTACTATAGGGGGGATGAATTACTATATGGGGGATGAATTACTAGGGGGATGAATTACTATGGGGGATGAATTACTATATGGGGGATTAATTACTATGGGGGATTAATTACTATGGGGGATGAATTACTATGGGGGATGAATTACTATATGGGGGATTAATTACTATGGGGGATGAATTACTATATGGGGGATTAATTACTATGGGGGATGAATTACTATGGGGGATGAATTACTATGGGGGATGAATTACTATATGGGGGATTAATTACTATGCTTACTATGGGGGAATATTACTATACTTACTATATAGATGACACATACACATCATTCATCTACTCTTGGTCTGGCCCCCGGGTCCAATATATGAACCCATTGCGGCCCTCAAGTCAAAAAGTTTGCCCACTCCTGACCTAGCTTGTGTTGTTGTCATCTCGGGTTTTTGTTTTGGTCAATGAAAGCCTTTTTTCAGCTGCAATCATTCACAACATAAGCTGACAGTTTCCACTCTCTCTCTTGATTAGCAGGCTGGAGTGTAAACTAAAGAGGAGAGATGAAGAGACACAAAATTAAAGAAAGAAGAGGAAGGGCTCAGGGAGGCAGAGCTACAGGCAGCAATGACAGAAAAGAAAGATTTATTTTATTTAACTTTCACTGCTCAGATTTTAATAGGGGCAAGTGTGATGTGCAGAGGCACCCCTGGGGGAATTTTTATTCATGGGTTTCATTCTGCTTTAACATTGGGTAAATAAAGTTAGAACTCTAATAATACATCTTCTTACATGAAGGGACTTTGTGATTCAATATCAAATAAAACCAAAAACAATTACTAGAAGCTAAAAAGATAAAATAGATCATTTGTGACATTAATACAAAAAAGACACTAAAATTCATAGATTCAGTGTGGTTAATGTACTGAAGGCAAACAGGCAATTCACTTTCCAAGGGAACTTTCATTGTGCAAGAAATTTTAGCTTAGTGAATTAGGTGATATTCTGCTGATTTCCATCTTTCAATCATGTGAAACCAAGTAAATGGGAATTTTGACTTACTTACTTACCTGTAAATTAAATATCTTGGAGTGCAATACAAGGTACATGACTTGTATTCATAGACCATGTTATATGCAGCCTACTTTCAGGTGACTGGATGCTGGAAAAAACTTGGTAGGGCTACTCTTCATGCATATTCATAACACCAAACCCATTACTATTTTAGGCAAGGATTAAGGAGTGACCACAGAAAAGGAAGTGCTTGTGTCTGTACTGTATTCCAAGATAAGGAATTTACAGGTAGGTAAAATTCCCATTATCTGAAAGCAGATCTAAACTGAATCTGAGCCAAAAAACAAAACATTTTATTTAATTCATTGTTAATATTCAAAGCAAACTCATCCATCTATCCATGTCTCCATGCTTTTTTTGTTGAGATTTCTTTGAAAAACACCTTCCTAGCAAATGATTCATGTAACACTTACTTCCTGGAATACATCTACCCTTAGGCCAGGCTTGCAGGCAGGAGGGCGTGCTTAGCTGAGAAAGCCCCTCCTCCAGATGAAAGAAAAATAATTTAATGAAGACTCCTGGGATCTATGACATTAATTTGGCCTAGGACAGAAACCAGGTAGCAACTGAAAAAATTAAAAAAAAAAAAAAAGTTTAAAACAAGTAAATATACCTATAAAATATAACTATCTATTTATTAAGGTAATTAGCATGATTCAAAACAGTTAATGTCAATTGAAAGAAATTAGTTTTGCTTTAGTTGTACAGTACAGGATACAGGGCTTGTATTCACAGACCAAGCCATAAACCGAGGGGTGGGTAAAAACATAGGAAATAGAACTGCCAACAGGCCTACAAAAAAGCAATAGATGGAAACCCAAAAACACTCAGATGACAGGTTGATAAAACTTGGAGAACGTATAAACGAGGACCATGTGCTGTTTTGTCTTTTTTCAGCCAGACTAACAAAAGTACCTAGGTAGCTATGTGCTGGCCTTGCAAATCTGAGGTACATATGCTTGATGCTGAAAAGCCCAGCAAACACCAACAGACTTGGTGGAATAAGCTCTAATAGGGAAAAAAGGAAGCATTTCCTTAAGGGCGTAAATTGTCTTATCTACCTGGCAATGGTGGAGAGGAAAGTAGGATGTCCTCTATGATGAGAGCCTACAGGTAAGACAAAACGACACTTAGTTTTGCAAACAGAAGCCGTGTCTGCCAGGTAGACCCTGGCAGCCCTGACAACAGCCAAGTGGTGTAGCTAGCAGGACAGAGGAAAGGAAGGAAAATATCCTCATTTAGGTGGAAAAACCACCTTGGGTAAAAAAAAGGTCTTGGTCTCAAGAACACCTTGTCCCTGAGCACAAGAAGAAAAAGCTCTTCACAAGAAAAAAAGCTTCTAGCTCAGAAACACACTTAACAGACGTAATGGCCACCAGGAAGGCTTACATGTGAGGTCTTCCACAGAGATTTCTCTAATCAGCTTTAATGAGGGGGGGAATCTAAAGTACAGAGAGGTACCAGGTTGAGATCCCAAAAAGACAAAGGGGTCAAATCGGGGGGTTTAAATTTACAACTCCCTGAAGAAAAATTGAAGTTTGTGAAATAATAGAAATAAGAGATGGATAAGGCAGAAACCTGTCCCTTAAGGGTACACTGGGTCAGACCATAGTCAAGGCCAGATTGAAGAAAGACCAAAATATGAACAAGAGAGTATTCCTTGGAACTAAGCTTCATGTCCGTACACCAGGAAAAGTAAGTTTTCCATGTACGATGGTAAATCTTGCAGGAGGTAGATTTTTTCACTCTAGAGTATTGTGAATGGTAGTGCTATAAATTGGAAGTGTTGGTCTCCCACAGCAAACTGCAGAAAGCTCTCATATTAAGGGCAGATGGGGAAGTGTAGATAGGCATCTTGTATGTTTACTGATGCCAGAAATTCAGTTTTTCTGAGAGAAGAAAAGACAGTTCTTACTGATTCCATAAAGAATTCCAATACACAAAGAAACCTGTTTATTCTTAAGTCAATATTGGGCAGATGCCTCCACTTGATTTGGGGGCTGTGAATATCCCTCAAACCTCTGAACCTTTCTGTTGAAGGAACTGGTATAACCATTCCTTGTAACTGAAGCTGGCACAAGGCAAACAGTATTATTATTATTATTATTACATCGTGTTTATATAGCGCCAAAGGTTTTGCTCAGCGCTGTACAATAGGGGGGACAATACATGGCACAGTACAACAAAAACAGACAGCGTACGAGGGGTAAGAGGGCCCTACTCTTTCAAGCTTACAATCTAGGATAATCCAGTAAATATGCTTATTTTTGAGTTGATGCTGGCAGATTGAAGGGTAGGGAGCAAGGAGGGGCAGAGATAGAAATTCTATTGTATAGATTATATATTTTGTTCCCCTTTGAAATTAGAGATTGAACCCAGAGGTCCAGATCATCTCAGATCAAGACTGGGACACATGCCAAAAGACGTCAAAAGCTTAGGAGGGGTGAATATTCTTTTAGGGTTAGGCCAATGCTGATGTAGTGCACATTAAATTTGTGTGTGGATGGGAAACTAAATTTTCTAGGAGTGCTGAAAGCTTTCCAAAGGATTTAGACCTAGTGGCAGAGAAATCTGCTTTTGTCAGATAGGCTGCATTTTCCCTATGCAGTGTTCTCAGTTTGCTGTAGGCCATCAGAAGTATGTAGTTTGTTTGACCC